TTTCCAGTTAGGCCTTATGTCCCTCCCCCACTCCGGTGTTTTAAGTGTCAAAGACGTGGACACATTGCAGCAGTGGCAGCAAAGGCGTCCAAGATGTTGGGGTGATCATCGATATGAGGAGTGTGGTGAGAATGCTCAAGATAAATGTTGTAACTGTGGAGGACAGCATAGAGTGAAGTTAGGAAAAAGAACATTAAAGTGGAGCAAATGAAGACAATAATGCTGAAGCTGTGAAAAAAGTTCAAGAACAGACAGGAAGGAGAGAGATGAACAGAACCAAAGGCGACAACTGAACCTACAATTACTCTTTTTATTTTAGGGAACCATACTGGTAAAAGTTAATACTGTGACGCTGATGAGACATTGGAACATGTAATGTTACACTGCCAAACTTATGAGGAAGAAAGACATTGAATTCAAAATTTAAATGGAATTAAAGTAAAACTAGCTTTAGAAATAACTCATAGTACAATTCATCAGATAATATTTCATTATCTTAAATTAACACAGTTGTATAATGAATTTAATCCTTGAGTGGTCCGCACTTCATACCAGTCGGTGGAGGTAATGCACCAATTTCGTTATTTGCCAACCGCCCAGAAAAACCATCAAAGAAAAAAAGTCCAGTGTGACATCATGGGGGGGGTGACATATTCACTGTTCAGGGTCTGGAGCAGTTTCCTCAGCGTCCATTCATGCATGAACGAATGCTGGGTCATTTTGCATTCAGGATGAGATTTGTTACTGACAAGACTTTAGGACAAGATTTCAGTCAGCAGAATGCATCATGTTCACAGTTAATCAACCCAAAGTTAGCAGACTGAGAAGACCGAGGCACGAGGTAAGTGATTTTATTTACAGATTAAGCAGCTTCGATGCTGGAAGGGAAAGGGGGCAAGATGAGTATCATAAGATGAAGCCAGACAGGAGAAGTAGACAAGGTCCTGGGTTTCCTTAAGGGAGATGAAGATCCAGAGGAGGTGAGTAATGGAGGAGAGAGGAGCAGATCGCAGGTCTAAGCGTTGGTGGTTTTCCAGTACTAGTTTGGCAGTTGAAGGGACAATATCGATCCACAGGCGAGCCACGAAGTGAAAGGAGGTCTTAGGAAAGACTCAAACGAGCAGGACTCAGGAGTCACAGCAGGAGATCACAAGTTGTCCATCTACTCTATTACCAAATGGCAGAAGATGACCCAGCGCCAGGAGAACATCTGGCGGGAGCTTTCATGCTCAGCAGAGCAGTTCTTCCCAATCAGCGGCAGGTGTTGAGAGTTGGTTGATCGGTGCGGCTGTGGAGAGAGTGAGTGGCAGAGAAACCCAAGAATCCTACAGAAGAGGAGACGAAGCCTTTGTCCCAGCAGGTAGGTCAAACACAGGAACTATCTGTGGCGGCTGTGGCTGAGTGGTTAGAGCAGTCGTCCTCCAACGGGAGAGTTGGGGGTTCGATTCCACCAGCAGTCACATGCTGAAGTGTCCCTGGGCAAGACACTGAACCCCTCATAGCCTCTGATGTGTGTCCCATCGGTGTCTGAATGTGATCTAAAGCACTGATTAGTCTCTACAGATTCAAATCAGCTTTGACCTAGCAGAGTGCTGCATGAACGGGTAAACGAGGGCACAGATTGTAGTGTAAAACGCTTTCAGTATATTGATAAGAGGGAAAGGCGCTATATAAGTACAGTCCATTTACCATCTGTCAGGTGTAAACTACAAACAGGGACAAGTGTTTTTGTCTAGAGAAATCGCCGTTGAGTTTACGTACCTGTGCTGTGCAGGCCGACCTCTTCAAACAGGTGTCCAATTCACACTTTCAGCGCAGGAATCAGTCTCTAATGGCTTCATATTGTCACAGGACTCAGTTTTAAAGTACATGCTCTTGTTTTTCAAAAGCGTGAAAGAAATTTTTTTAAATTGTGCTAAAGTAATTTGTCTGCACCCAGCATGTGTGTGCACGCCTGCTGGGAGGAGGTGGTTGTGTAATGAAGCTGAAACATAACGGAGTTTGAAAAAAAATACAGCAAATGCTTCTTATTTTGCTTCAGGTGTGTTTGTATGTGTGTACAGAATCAGAATGCCTTTATTATCCTTGCACAGTGAAATACAGTGAAAGTACTTTCTGTACAGCCGTCCTAAAGATGGACAGAAGTGCACAAGGGGCTGCAGCTTCTAAGATGCGCTGCCCTTGTTGCTTAGATAAGAAAAAATGGAAAACATATGGAGAGAGAGGTATAAAAAAATAGATCTCTCACACCGTGTCCCTGACAGGGCACGGTTTGAGGCATCAAAAAAATCCACCACCACAAAGCAACATAAATAGATACATTTGCGTGTGGAGTGGGTAGGGGTTGGGGGCCCCAGCGCAGCCGACAGGTGAGCGACGCAGCCCCTGGCGCCTTCGCATCTCCTAGGTTGCTGCCTCAGGTGAGGCGAGGGAGGCGTTTGAGTTAAGGAAAAGTCGAAGCACAGCACAGTCCAGAGCCCCCACCCTCCAGCCATAGTCCTAGTAAGAGGTGTTTGTTTATCAGCCAGCTCAGTTGAGCTGTGTATGTGTGTGTAGGTATGTACAGATGTACGTATTTTACTTATGCATGTATGTATGTAGCGTGTACGTGTGTGCTTGTGTGTGTATGCGTGTACAAGTTTCAAGGATCTTTATCATCATTTGCATTACGTGTGGTGCATGAGGTGGAACAAAGTTGTGTACACAGGGTCCTGGTTATATCCAACAACAGCAAAAATTGTAAAAAGAAACAGTAATAAGGATCTAAGATATAAACTAAGAAATATGCTAAACACTAATAAACAATACGCTGAACAACAGCAGCACGAACACGAGTCTGTGTGAGTAGATGAGTATGAATGAATAAGCAGCAGCAGGAGATCAGCAGCATGGATAATCAGCAGCACATATCAACCATCAAAGTGGCTTTACAGTGATTTTTTTTTTCATAGTGATAATCCTGGTTAAAGATTCATGAGTCTAACAGCTTCACGGTAGAAGCTGTTCCTCAGTCTAGTGGTTCTGCACTTAATGCTCCTCAATCTCCTGCCTGAGGAGAACAGGTCAAAAAGTGTGTGTGCTGTTGCCCTGACGTCCCACATCATGAAGGTCCTAGAGGGACTTCTGCTGACCCACCTGACTAGACAAACAAGCACATATCAGGACCCACTGCAGTTTGCTTATCAGCATGGACTTGGAGTTGAAGATGTCATCATACACCTGCTTCAGCAAACTCACTGTCATCTATAAAAGGCAGACAGCACTGTGAGAGTCATGTTCTTTGATTTATCCAGTGCATTTAACACAATCCAGCCTGATTTGCTCCGTCAGAAACTCCAGAAGACTCAGGTGGAGGCTTCAACAATCACCTGGATCAAAGACTACCTGACAAACAGATCACAGTTTGTGAGAATAAAGGGTTGTGTGTCTGACCAGATGGTCAGTAGCTCAGGAGCACCACAGGGGACTGTACTCTCACCATTCCTTTTCATTGTACACCTCAGATTTCCAGTACAAAACAGACTCCTGTCATCTGCAGAAATATTCAGATGACTCTGCAGTGGTCGGATGTATCAGAGATGGACAAGAAGCTGAGTACAGGGAACTGGTGGACCACTTTGTGGCATGGTGTGGAAACAATCATCTCATCTTGAATGTGAACAAAACATAGGAGATGATTGTAGATTTCAGGAGAAACAGGAACAGATCCAACCCTATTTCCATCATGGGAGAAGAAGTGGAGGTGGTGGAGAAGTATAAATACCTTGGGGTTCACCTGGACAACAGACTGGACTGGAAATGCAACAGTGAAGCATCTACAAGAAGGGACAGAGCAGACTGTACTTCTTGAGGAAGCTGAAGTCCTTCAATGTTTGCAGCAAGATGCTGCATATCTTCTATAAGTCTGTTGTAGAGAGTGTTATCTCTTCTGCCATCATCTGCTGGGGGAGCAGCACCAGAGCAAGTGACTTAAAAAAGATCAACAAGCTCATAAAGAAGGCTGGCTCAGTTCTGGGGACTCCTCTAGAACCTTTGGAGATGATTGTTCAAAGAAGGATTCTTCATAAAGTGAAGAACATTACAGACAACCCTCAGCATCCTCTTCATCAGACTGTCATACAACACCAGAGAGTCTTCAGTCTGAGGCTTCTTCAGATCCGTTGTAGGACAGACTGCTACAAGAGATCCTTCCTGCCCACAGCCATCAGCATCTAGAACAATTCTTCAATGAAACCAGGATGATGAGTTACCACATTGAATTTCCCTCTGGGATTAATAAAGTATTTTTGAATTTAATTGAATTAAATGCCATACATGTATGGCTAAAATCTGATGTGATAGTAGTTATTCACAACACATACGCCAAGTGCTAACCGATAACACAAGACGACACGAGTTATTATAGTGCATAAGATTACCCATGTTATATATATATTTTTAGATTAGACTAAAATGTCTCTAACTCCATCACTTCTCGACAATCTTAGTGTAAAACTCTTGTACGGAAGGTGGCGGTTGATTAAGTCTATAATTAGGAAGTCACATTGACTCGGACGTTTTGTGTTACATAATTGAAGCTGTGCATAGAGCTGTATACCTATAGTATAATCACGTTCTCGGGACCATAAAACCTGAACTGTGTTCTGAACCAAAGGACTGGGCCCATTCTAATCACTGATCTTAGCTAATGAAAAGTCGTGCTTATCTGTAAAAACGTCAGTTATCTGCTCTCTGTGTGAGCTGACGGCACTCAGTAAGAGAAGTGCAGAGACAAGCTGTTCGGTAAGTTTGTCTTTTCTTAACTACAGCTCCGGCAGGATGATCTGCTCTCTTTACGGATTTTATCCTGCTCGATAATCTAAATGTGCGTTGATGCTTCCGTCTTTTGTTGCTTTATACTCGCTATGCTTTGATTATTTGATTGGTAAAAGAATAAAGTCCCGTGCTTTGCTTGACTGATCCCCGTTTGTGTTTCCAGAACCTTGAGTCCTGCTCCCATCATGGACAACGCAGCGGATCTGTCTTCTCTACAGGATGGCTTCTCGTTCAACATGACGTCTGTCAACGTTAGCAGTCTTCCGACAACTTTTCTGTCACCCGTTGTGAACAAAGTCGTCAACATTCTTATCATTATTGTCTTGTTCATCACTATGATTTCACTGGGGTGCACCATGGAGGTGTCCAAGATAAAGGTCAGCAGCTCCACGTCCAATCAAATCTGTTAGGTTAGAGCGTTCACGTTCATGGAGGAAATAAAAAGTCTATGGATGGATTGATGTTTTTGTGTCTTTGTGTTCCAGGACCACATTTTAAAACCTAAAGGGGTGGGCATTGCAGTTCTTTCCCAGTACGGCGTGATGCCTCTCACGGCTTTTTGCTTGGCTAAGGTTTGTTCTGCAGCTCCAGTCAGAAAATCTGATAAAAAAAATCCTTGCATTAATTTTCATTTCATACATCCACTGAATGTTAAAACACCTTAAACTGCATATTTATTCCAAAAAGATGGAAGGCGTGCATGTTTACCATCGTCTTGCATTAGATTGTTTACTGAGTTTGAGTAGTTTTAAAGGTCAAAATGTTTTCTGTGCTCTTGCTGTGTCAGCTGACTCACAGCTCAGGTTTTCCTCTTTCATTTGGTTCATGTTGATTCAAATGTTTACTGTGGGTGATGGATAGCTGTGAACTGTGGAGCAAGTCAGCACCGCGTTTGTGGACATTTGGATTAGAACAAGTCACAAACAAGGATCTGGGACTTTGATTTATAGCTTCAGTAAATGTATTGATCAGTTGTGTTTTGGCTCTAATTCTAATTTAAATGTGATATTGTTTAAAATGATCATATTGTCAAAGTCGCTTTCCAGGAAAAATGGTGTCAGAAGACATAACATATCGTGCAGTGTATTTAGTGGTTATTATAAATCAACAATTCCAGCACTGTCTCATTTGCATATCTGTATCTTTACATTCTGCTTCCATCAGAGCAGCTCCCATGATGCATCTTGTCACCAGTTTGTGTCATTGTGTTGCGTTTCAGGCCTTCCAGCTTACTGAAATAATGACGGTGGTCATTCTAATCTGTGGCTGCTGCCCTGGAGGAGCAGCCTCCAACATCCTGGCTCTGGCTCTGAATGGAGACATGAACCTCAGGTACACACAGACACACACACAGACACACACACACACAGACTGCACAACAAATCTGAAACTAAATAAAACCAACACAAATAAATACTCAAATAGATAAAAAGAAAATAGATCTCAGTTGTGTGTTATGAAGGACACACCTTCGACGGATGACTTGAGCAACTGCTGGCCTTGTAGACATGCTATAGCATTGTTTATTATTTATTTATTTACTTACTTTTATAATAAATCACCACAAAAGACAGCTGACTTGTTTTGTCCACCCTAGTTTCAAAAAAATCTACCAAAGCATCAAAATAGAAGCTAAAAGCTAAAGGCAGCAAATCTATAGCTCAGTGCTGAAAGTAGTGAATCACTAGCTAAAAGTAAGAAACTGGGTAAAAGCTGAAAGTTAAATGTTAGCTAAAATTATCATTTAAAGACAAATAAAAAAAGAACAACATACAAACAAATTTCAAAGAGAACAGTGTTCTATGGTAAAACTAAAACAGAGCACTAGCTAAAAGGTCAAAGCCATAAAATGCTAGCTAAATGATACAAGAAGCAAATATTAGCTAACACGTAAAACTAACAAAATGCTTGCATAAAAGTAAAAATACTTAAAACGCTAGCATTACCCCACCCGGGACCCTGCATGCTGCACGACCCCGCACCTTTACTTTCTCCACACAATCTGTAAACTTGCCTGGTGGCACCGTTGCGATGCAGGGCAGATTTCATGAGGGGCATGCGGTACAGTATCCTGGTCAAATAACGCTGCACAAAAAGCTCATGATAACATTTTTGAATTACATTCATGCCTAAAACACCTGGGGTTGGAGGTACTTTGCCAGGGGGCTCTTTTATAATTAAAACCCCTCAGTTTGGCATGTCTTTGCCACAAAATTTAACACTAAGCTCTATATAGCCAACAAAAGGGATGTTTAACCCATTTGCTGCCTTAAGCTGCAACAACTGGCAAGAACGGAAGCTATCAGGGAGTGCTCCTTAAAGGAATATTCCGTGAGGGTTGACACCATAGATCCAGTGTCAATTAGGCAGGGCACCTGAACACCTCCCAAACACACATCTAAATGTGGACACAATGTAACAAGTTTGGGTGTTTCCCTATCATTACATGGTGCTGTGACAGCCAATAGTGGCCCCACCCGAACTGCAGCTCAACAATTCAGTGAGATCTGGTTTTCCAGGACTGCAGAGTTATGAGGCAGGGTACTAGAGGACTGCTGAGGGCCACGTACACCATCACATTCCCTGGCATAATGACCTGGCTGTTGGCACTGAAACCCCAACGATGGGGCTGAAAGACAACGAGCCCTACCACCCGATGAGCCCTCTCGTTCCCATCCAGTGGCTTCAGCCTTAACATCAGGTAGAGTAGCCGCTTCTCCCGTACAAAATGTTCCAATGCTTGCCGCAGGGGACCATCTAAAACATGCTCCACAAACTGATCCCTCAACAATACATCAGCAGTAACCATGCTGGTGGGTGCAGAAGATTGAACCTCCTCCGTTAAGCCCATCAATGCAAGGGGACAACCTCTTGAAAGGTTTCATCCTCCTGCAATGAAACAAAAGAATCAGAACAGCCATATACCTCCTTCAGCTCTTTAATGATGCAAGCAGACCGTTCAACACTAGAGCGGTATCTACTCGTGCCTCACCCTCCAGATGATCATACAAAATAAAAAGCCTGATCAACTGGTGATAAATGATGCGCCCTCTTACAGGCCTCAGCCTCCTCCAAACACTCATTTAACCCTATTCCTCATCTTCCCCTGAACATTGGACATTTCCGGTCACGAGACACAACCTCTCTGACACAGGGGGATAAGGAGTAGGCAGAACAGCTGGAGGTGCAGTTGAGGCAGAGGAGTCAGCAGAAGTCCCCGGGGCAGAATGTTCCTGACGCAACCGCTCGTTGTCTGCTGTCAACTGGGCAAGCAAGTCCCGCATTTCTTGGACCTCGTCCTCCACGATCCGGATCCTTTGTGATAAGGTGAAACTCAATCCCAAACACAAAACAAACAAACAAACAAACAAAACAAAAATCAAGCCTCCTTTTCCACAACAGTCTGCCCAACCAACGACGCCACTTGTGGCACATGTGTGTGATTATCTTTAAAATATGAAAGTTATAATGAAGTGAAGGAAACCAACAACGCCACCCGGGATTATACTCCAGGAAATCTAAATAGTAAAAGAAGTACATGTTTGTTTTACTGGAGGAAGGAGACAAGATTCAAATTAATTCTACCAAATTTATTGGAGGGCAAAGGGGTACAAATGCAAACATTTTAAAAGTATTTTGCATTTTAAAATACACAATGGCAGAAATTTGTTAAGACTGTATTATAGAAGCTTAAAGCTAAAAGTAGCAAATTTATAGCTCAGTGCTGAAAGTAGCAAATCACTAGCTAAAAGTAAGAAACTGGGAAAAAGATAAAAGTAGTGAAATGTTAGCTAAAATTATCAAAGACAAAAAAAAAAGCATACAAACAAATTTCAAAGAGAACAGTGCTCTATGGTAAAACTGAAACGGAGCACTAGCTAAAAGATCAAAGCCATAAAATGCTAGCTAAATGATACAAGAAGCAAATATTAGCTAACATGTAAAACTAACACAATGCTTGCATAAAGTTAAAAATACTTACCACTAGTGAACAATGCTAGCTAAAAGTAGCAAAAAGATATACAAATGGATAAAATGCTATCCTAAAGGTATACGTAGCTAAATGCTAGCCTAAAGCTAAATGTAGCTAAATGCTAGCCTAAAGCTAAGTAGCTAAATGCTAGCATAAAGCTAAAAGTGCCATGAGAAAATAAAGCTAGAGCAAGTTTGCTGAAGTAATTTGTACAAAGAACAATAAAGTTTTTGAAGGAAGTACTTGTACATGAACTTGTACTTGTACAGTAGGCCTACGTGTATTTCTACGGAGAATGGTTTGTAAGTAACAGTAAATGTTTTTGAAAAGTTTAAAAGTTACAAAAACCAGAAGTCGTAGCTTGAATGTCCCAAAATGAGCTGAAGATTTTGACTTTTGAATAGTTCAAATGGCAACAAGTATGCTCGGGTAGTTAGAACAATAAAGTATGGAGATGGAATAAAGAGAAACAGGATGACTATGGTGCGACGGCTGAACGGGTCTTTTGTAAGCCCAGATGATTTTGTGGATTAGAATTAATTTATGAGTTCAGTGACCTCTTTAGATACTGTACATCAGCATTAATATTCCCGGTGCTTTAATTTATTACAGTACGTACGCTGTGTGAAACAAAACGCTGGAGTTGAATGACCAGCAGGTCATCATCAGTCTGGCCATAAAGTCTTGATCTTATCACAAAAAGAAGACAACAACCCCTTTTAACTATCAACAGCTACGTCCCTCACCCCATTACATACGTCCTGAAGCAGCAGGCGTGAGCTTTATGGTGTTTGTGTACTTCAGGACATTCCAGCTGTATCTGATGTCTGAGGAGCTTATCTGAGAACAGCCAAGGCACGAACAGGGCTGCTGCTCGACACAAAAATTAAACCAATAAAACAGACGAGAAGTTTTCTAAATGCAACACGTGCAATTTACTCATTTCCTTGTGTTCAAATGTAAACTGTTCCCTCTCTAGAAACGTTTCTTTCTTTCCCTCTCCTACAACCATTTTGAGTGTATTGTTGAACCATGAAGACTTTGAAAGTTGTTTTTCTTCTTGTGTCCCGACAAGTCCTTTAAAAGAAAGAGTTCAAAAGGTTGAAGGATTTACGTTTTAGCTGAAGCGTAGAAAATATCCAGTTTTTCAGGAAATTGAACTTGATAAAAACAAGCAACTTTTTTTTTTTGTCTTTCTTAATTTTGAGTATTTTAAGTGAAAAGTTTAAATACAAAATGCCATCAGCATCACTCACGCTGTGGGGAAAAGTTTGATGCGTTGCCAATTTTGCAAATTCTCACCTACAAAGAATGGAGAGGTCTGAAATTTTTATTGTAGGTACACGGCAACTGTGAGAAACAGAATGTAAGAAAAACAAATCAGAAAATCACATTGAATAATTTGTAAATAATTCATTTGCATTTTACTTCATGAAATAAGGATTTGATACAGTAGTAAAACCGAATTTAATAATTGGTACACAAACCTTTGTTTTCAGTCACAGAGGTCAGATGTTTGCTGTAGTTTCTGACCAGGGATTTTGGCCACACTTCTCCAGATCTTCCAGGTTTTGAGGCTCTCGCTGGGCAACATGGAGTTTCTGCTCCCTCAAAAGAGCTTCTATTGGGTTCAGGTCTGGAGACTGGCTAGGCCACTCCAGGACTTTGAAATGCTTCTTTCAGAGCCACTCCTTAGTTGTCCTGGCTGTGTGTTTGGGGTCATTGTCATGATGGAAGACCCAGCCATGACCCATCTTCAATGCTCTTACTTTGGGAAGGATGATGTTGGACAAAAATCACACAATCACACCCCATCCATCCATCCATCCATCCTCCCTTCAAAACAGTGGTCGTCTTATCCCCTTCGCAAAAAAGAACCCCCAAAGTATGATGTTTCCACCCCCATGCTTCACAGTTGGAATGGTGTTCTTGGGGTTGCACACATCCTTCTTCCTCCAAACACGGCGAGTGGATACCAAAAACCTCAATTTTGGTCTCATCTGACCACCTGACCTTCTCCCGTGCCTCCTCTGGATCATCCACATGGTCATTAGTGAACTTGTGCTGGCATGAGCAGGGGGACCTTGTGTGCCCTGCAGGATGTTAATCCATGACGGCGTAGTGTGTTACTAATGATCCTCTTGGAGAATGTGGTCCCAGTCTCTTCAGGTCGTTGACCAGGTCCTCCCGTGTAGTTCTGGGCTGATTCCTGACTCATCCTTACCCCACGAGGTGAGCTCTAGCATGGAGCCCCAGACCAAGGAAGATTGACCTTGATCTTGTGTTTCTTCCATTTTCTAATAATTGCACCAACAGTTGTTACCTTCTCACCAAGCTGCGTGCCTTTTGTCCTGTAGACCATCCCAGCCTGGTGCAGGTCTACGATTTTGTCCCTGGTGTCCTTAGACAGCCCCTTGGTCTTGACAATGGAGAGCCAGAATTCTTGCTGTTGGTAGATGATCAAATACTTATTTCATGACATAAAATGCAAATCAAGTATTTTAAAATCATATCTATCTATATACTTAAAATGTGACTATTCTGATTAAATGTTCAGGCAGTAAAGGGATTAGTCCAGTTGTGTAGATGTCAGTATTTCAGAATAAATGGAAACAGGTCAAAGAAACATTGAAGGCTGTAAATTTTGTGATAATCAGATTTGTTGCCTGAAGAACCTGAGAGTTGTTAAACCCGAACCTGCAAGACTCACTGGCGGCCCCTGGGGGCGCTTTTAGTTTTTCCTTCATATCTAAACTCATGCAAGTTCCAACTGTCACAACAAAGATTTGTCAACAGTTCCGTCTATCTGATAATTTGTGCTGAGAAGCCTCTGGAAAAGCCTCACACAGTCAACTTGTCCAAGTTAACACAGTCCCAGTTTAAATTCACCCGAGTGCCTGACTTCGCTGAATTATAGCAAGAACATACAGTACATTGATTTGTCTTGCCACGGTAAGGTTCACCGACCCCTCAGGAAAGACGTGCGGGGCATGAAACACCATGCAAACTGTGTGTTCAAAGGGCACATCGTAAAAACTGTTTCGGTTTCTGCCCTTAGCATCGTGATGACCACCTCCTCCACGATACTGGCTCTCGGCATGATGCCTCTCCTGCTCTACTTGTACTGTCAGGGCTTCTCGACTCTGCAGAAAGCCATCCCTTATGTTGACATCGTCATATCCCTGGTCCTGATCCTGGTGCCGTGCGGCATCGGCATCCTCATCAACTACTACAAGCCGCAGTATTCCAAAATCATCACAAAGGTCAGTGCACGACCACCAGGGTCAGGAGGGTTTGCACTCCTTTGCCGGGTCTTGGTCTGTGAATTTTTGATTTAACAAAAACAAAGACGTCTTGTACCGTTACCCTCAGGTAGGCCTCAGCATAATGGCAATTTCCAGTGTGGCAATTGGAATCGTCGTCTGCATCGATGTCGGAGAGGCCATCCTGGGTGTGCTGTCTCCCACCCTGATGGCCATCGCTGCCCTCATGCCCTTCATCGGTTACACCTTCGGTTACATCATCTCCTCGCTCTTCAGGCTCAGCCAGTCGTAAGTTAGATGGACACTTACTGTACTGATGTTCGGTGACTGGAGGCGGAGCCTTTCTGTATGCATATTCATGACTGATGTACACGTCTACCCTACGTCTTTAGGGAACGGAGAACCGTTGCTGTGGAAACAGGCTGTCAGAACATCCAGCTGTGCGCCACCATACTGAAGCTAGCCTTTCTGCCAGCAGTGATCGGGCCTTTGTTCATGTTCCCGATGGTCTACCTGTTCTTTCAGCTGATTGAGGCGGTGATACTCATCATCCTGTTCAGGTGTTATCAAAGGTTCACCCAGAAACCGAAAGGTGAGACTGTCAGCAGCTGTCTGAAAACCTCAACTTAATGTGAGGGCTCTTGTATGGCAAGAAAAGACTTTTTAAAATGACCCATGCTCTTCTAGAGAAGTCGTTTTTATCTCTAGCTTCACATTTGAACTCAGTTGACCACCTGGTTGAACAAGCGGACTGGTTTTAATGGCTCGAAGAGAGAATTTCATTCTTCCTGTTTTCCAAAGAGAAGAACCAAAAAGAAATTGATGCAGTTGTCAGGGGCTCATTATGGTCACCATGGCAGCCACGCGACTGTGTTTCACTCCCTGATGGATTGAAAATAAGGCCTAAACCAGGGCTATTAAACAAAACTGCTCAGTGGGCCAGTTTCTGAAAACCAGTAGCTCAGGGGCCGGACATTCAGCGATTAAAGTCATCATGTAAATAAACAAAGTTTTACAATGATCTGTTGCCTTTTAAATTCTTTACTGCATTGAATCATAAATGCAAAAAACAGAACCCAAACAGAGACACACCCCCCCCCCCAAATAAAAAATAAGATGAAGCAGGCCGGATTGAATTCATCCCGCAGGCCGCCCGTTGAATAGCCGTGGCCTAAACTGTTGCTCTGTGAAAACTGTCGGTCACGACCAGCAGGTGATGGTGGCACATGAATTTTTTTTTGTTTTGTTTCTACATCGTTTTACGCAGAGGATACAACAAGTGAAAAACACCGGTAGCTAAATTATTGAACCCGTGTTAGATTTGAACGTGGACTTCGTATTCCGATGAAACCCCGAGATAAAATTGTAATTCCTGTGAGAGGGACTAAGTAAAAGAAGACAAAAATACTTAAATTTAAACGTACAGTTTGTACCAGAATTACCGTACGCTAGCAAGAAGTTTGCCAAAGATTTAACATTTTTTAGACAGCTCTTAAGTTTGACATGGGCTGTTGGGCATTCTGTGCAAACGTAGAAATAAAACTTAACTGATTTGGGTGAAAAACTGTAAAAAATTTTTTTTTTAAAAAGTCAAAATGACAGTTCACTTTCTGTGGCCTGATTTAATTCTGAACATGTTCCTGATCTCCTGAAAGGGGATGCATTTCCTCATTTTGATAAAAAAAACAATTTATCTCTTATTTTTCTGCACTTCTTTGCTGATTTTATCTTCGTTGAACAAAGCACCACTCCCAAAAGTCATGGCACACTATTTCCGATCGTGCCACACGTTTTGATGAATGACTGGCGTGTAAGTCAGCTGTGCAACGAGATACAGGACAAACTCAAAGATCATTTTTTGATGCAGGGACCTTGAGGAACGAGTGCAGATATAAGTGTTGGGTGCAGAAAATATAACCCTTAAGACTGAAAGCTAGTTGCTAATTTACATACGAGTCGAGTTGGACTAAACCGCTTGATGTAGAAACAATTAAAAGATACAGATATACATTTTAAACCGTATTCATCAATAAATTATACTTTCATTTGCCAAAATGGCATTTTTACAAAGACAAAAATTTGGTACTCAAATTGGAAATTTACTGCAACTTAAAAAATAAACGAACGAACGCCTTAGCTTAAATATTAAACAGTAATAAGATCGAATGATGACTATTTGAGCAACTTCTATTTAGCTGCATCCGCTGAAATACTGTAGTTCAATAAAATGGTACTATTTTATTACAGAATACTATGCCACCATGTACTGAAGTGGAATAATAAGAATTTATGGCGAGTGTGCACAAACTAGTCTAAAATTCTTAAAACCATCCTCAACTGGACTGTTCATCGGGAACAAGACATTAAATGTTATCGGTTTGAATCGAGCTGCTTGCTTCAAGTCTTTTGAATCATTTCCTCTAAAATGGTATTTTTAATTCGTTTCTTTTGTCTTGTAGAAAAATACAAGCCAGCATCAACTGGAGACGAGCTGAAGGAGCTCCCTGAGACGACTGCGTGATGCATGAAAATCAACAACTGATTTAAACCCAATACATTTTTTTTCCTTGTTTTATTAAACAGAAATGTTGAAATAGGATTAAAAACCGTCAGGTTGAGTATTTTGTGTACATTTGTGATTAATTTCCAACAAAACGCTAATAAAGACAAATGTCAAGGTTTCATTAAAACTGTTTTATTGGGTCTGTATTTTCTTTAACACCATACAAACATCTATAACAGTTCACTGAAAATAAAACCCTCATGTACAAAAGTTGTTTTTCCCTAAACCTGTCTATGTGTTCAGGTGAACCACAGTAACTGTCACAGTACCAACAAGTAGCCTTGGAATTACATTTAAACACTTTGACAAAAGGTTGTGATCTGTACACCAATCTCAAACTAAAATAAGAAAAAAAAAAAAAAAGCCATAATTTCCTGGTTTTACTTCTCAAAACTCTTTACAAAATTAACACTAATAATCCTCAGAATAATTGGTAGCATACGCAGATGTTTGGAGGAATAACCCAACTGTACATGAGTGTTTTGACACAGAAGCTGCCAATGACATGTTGGCGCTTTGTGAGCATGAAGCAAACATTTTATCGTTCAAGACAACTAAGATGTCAATGTGTGATCAAAACAAGCACATCCAAGCATTCACAGCTGCATCTCATCCACACGTGTACATCTGCTGCCATGGTTACATGGTTACGGTCAGAACGGAAAACGTTCCGCTGACAAAGCAAAAATATCTCGGAAAACACGAGGAGCACATCAATCAAAAACATCCTGTAAAAAATACAGAATCCAGTTTTTATTAGTGTGAATGGTGGTGATTATGGTTTACTCTGGTTCTGATGGTGCAGCGGAGGTCTAACTTGCGTTCATACTGGTCATTCATCCATCAGTTCATGTGTGAAGGTGTCAGGAGTTGTTGGTTAATGAGGCCTTTATCAGATGTACTGGCATGTATTCTGTTAAAGCTGTTTAAACTGAAAGCTCTTGTTGGAAAATAAAATATTACCGTTCAATTTTGAGCTGTCTGTGAAACTGAGAAGTTTAAAGACAATTAAAAAAAAAAAAAAAATCCAAACATGAAGCCTAAATTTCAAAAAACAAGGACTTACTCAACTTTTGCTTTTCAGCGTTGACTGTCAGTAGAAGGAGATCTAGAGCGGGAGCGGGACCGGGACCTGGAGCGAGAGCGGGACCTGGAGCGAGAGCGCGAGTTAGATGCCCTCTGAGCCGGCAGAGGGGAGGACGGGGTCACGGACTTGCTCGTCTTGGAGCGTTTGTTGGGCTCCTTTGATTTGGGGCTTGGCGAGGAGGTGCCGCCTGCAGGTGAGCCGCTGCGGGAGCGGGAACGGTGGTGGGCCTTGGCAGGGCTGCGGGAGCGTCTGGGAGAACGTGACTGAGAGCGGCCGCGGGAACGGGACCGTGAGCGAGATGAGCTGTCGGAGCGGGAACGGCTTCTGGACCTGAAACAAATAAGAACAAATAAGGTGACTATATAAACGCATTGATCATCACACACTGATCAACCATGAACCATAAGTTACTGAAACTAAATCAGAAAAAGGGCACGTTTGAATGAAAATTTTACCGAACATTTTGTTGATTTCAGCCACAAATGAGAGGATACGAGGCTTTAGTGATTTGTTAACATTCACTTTAGGTTTAGGGGAATTTAAGTAATTGACTTCATTACAAACAGGAATGCAAGAGATGATTCCTTCATGTATACGGACGTTTTTGGACTTGAGCTTTTAAACACACCTCTTTTTGGCAGCTTCAATGAGTTTGATTTTCCTCCCATTGATTTCCTTTCCAGCCAGTTTGTCAAGTGCATTTTTCAGATCACTGTGAGAGGCAAACTCAACCACTCTGAAGAGAAGAAAAAAAACCCTCATTAAATTTATTTTTTCTTTTACAAAATAAACAAAAACACTCATGCCACTAACTGTGACATCTGTCATCCAGGTTGACAAGATCCTTACCCTTCGTTGAGCTTAGGACGATGTGCGTCAGCAAATGTCACCTCTCCAGCTTGTCTCATGAAATCTTTCAGGTCCTACACATGTAAACTTGTGTCAGTTTTCAGGGAGGCTCGGTACACAAGCACAGGCTGAGATATAAACTGGATTGATTTACCCAAAAGGAGAGATGGTTAGATTTTTCAGAAAAAAATTACAGACTACTGCAGATAAAGAGGATGAGTCCAAGAATCTCAAAGTCTGTTCAACCAATCAGAGCTTCAACAAAAGATTCTATAAATCCTAGAAAAATATATACAATGTGCATAAACCTAGATATTAATTCCCTTTGACGGGACTAGAACTGCACAAAGTTCGTTTTGCAACAGCTTTGAGATCCTTGAACGAATCACTCGTTACCCCACAGAGATGAACACCATCTGCATGAACAACAGTGGGGCCTTCTGGGAAGCATCTGGCACCACGAGCCCCATTTTGGGGCTCAGGACTCGTGCCGGTACCGCCCCCACCTTGGCACCCCACCTCAGTAAAGAGAGTGAACAGGGTGGAAGAGAGGAAACTACTACCTGAGAGCGAAACCCTTTGAGATGGGCCGCAGGCTCTCCGAGCCCACCACAATGAGGATTACAGCAGATTATATCCATGGACACCTGGAAGGAATTCACACTCTCTCGCGATGTGCGGGAACACCACAGGGAGGGGGGGATATCGATCGAAGCCCCTCAAATTAACGAACCATCGATCATTACGTCACCACCATCACCATCGACTCTCGCTCTTTCGTCTGCTTTCTCTCTGCCAACTCTGTTTCCTCTCTCCTGCTCTCAACCACACAGCAGGCGTCGCGAGCGAGCGAAGGGCCGCCAGCGCCTCTAGTGTGGAGCAAGCGCTCACATGACCAGCAGGCATCAACTAGGAGTAGGACACACTGGCTGACAGCACAGGCTCAACCCAGACAGAAGGACCCAGAAGGGGTTAACTCCACCATAAGCGAGCTCTTCCTTATGACACAACAGACAGGCTGGCAAATAAAGGGGTGGAGAATTGGTTAAAATTTGTAAACAGGAACAAATTTGGTGTTTTGTTTCTTGTTACTGCTCTTCTGAATTCTCAGTAAATTGCATAAAATACTAAAAAATACATTTTGGGCTTGAATCACAGAATACTAATACATATTAACTAAGTCTAATATTACTACTGATTTAGTGTATAAATATGCTCTGTTCTTAACAGCCCATAAACTAAGTGTATGTGTATAATGTTGGAGGCAGATAAATGAGGGTTATAACATCTGTAAAAATGAAGCTTTAAAAGACAATACAGACCTGCCAGCTCACACGAGAGGACAAGTTCTCCACAATTAGGCGGTTCTCGGTGCGCATTGGAGGAGGGTTTCTATTGAAGGAGACAAATTATTATATTGTGGATGAATGGTAAAAGATATTTAAACAAAGAAGCTAAGAGCTCTGAGCAGTAAACCCCCACCACACAAAAATATTCAATTATAACACCATGGTAATAAACTCAGCAAAGACATCTGTAAGAAAGTGAGACGTCCACTCGACAATATTCTGAGTTGTACCTCCGACTGCTTTGGGAGCCTCTGCCATAGCGATCGGAAAAACGTCCTCCTCCACCGCCACCGCCGCCGCCACCACCACGGCCGCGGCCACCTCGCAGACGTACACGAGCGTGCTCAATAGTCACCCTGATATCACAAGGACATTTTTTTGTAATGACTATAAGTGCAAGAGTCTTGGAACAAATTTAAAGAGCAATTTCAACCTGGGAAGCTTCGACTTTGTGCCATCTAAACTTTGAATGAGATTCTTACCTTTCATTGCACAGCTCTTTGCCATCAAGCTCATACACAGCATCTTCAGCATCTCTGGGATCATCAAACTCCTACAATGGACCAAACATGAACCTTTGTATGCAATGCTTTTAACATTTATAACCTTTCAATGTAATATTTGATGTAGCTACAGAATCAAAAATTCAAAATAACTTCTAATTTGAGTCAAAGTATCACTGGAAGTCATATCAGTTAAAATCCAAACAAAATGAACAATGTAAGGCAGAGTCCCCAGAGGGATGGTAATTCATTCACAAGAGTTGGTCTTTTAAAACTACCGGTAGTTGTGTCTCGATATCAGCCTCAAATACTCGTACGTAGACCTGTCGCAGTAAACGATAAATCAATTAATCGCATGATAAATGAAAATTATCAACCTCATTTTCATTTATGGGATTTATCGTTTCTTCGGGTCTCTCTTTCTACTGAAGACACTGGATGACAAAAAGCTAAACTCTGGTGCTCTTCACTGACCCCTCCCTTTTCTTTTCTCTTTAAAATCTGTTTGAACCGTCCAACGTTTTTGGATTGATAAAAGCAGCTAAGCTGAGAAGCTAAGCTACGAGCTAAGCTAACAGGGCGACCTTGAGAAAAAACCTCTGTCTTGTCGAAGCTCCAAAATTCACAGTTGAAACCTGTGCCTTCGTGTAAAAACTTGTTTTTCTCTGTAAAAAGTAGCTGAGCACTTGTCTACTGATTTTTTTATTAAAAGCTTTGTGTGAAAAATATTACGCTAAAGAGCTCAAACCACACCAAGCGTCCCCCATAAATAAAGGCTAAAAATGTCACCATGTCACGTCAAGGGCCCTCACTCCCATTTTTCTTAGAGACATGCTGCTCAAATTTCCATCTTTTGGTTTCAGTCTTATACTGCCATCAGGTGGTCAAAAAAGGTACTACACACCAGACAAATCAACATTTCTTCTAAAGTTTGACAATTATTGTTGAATTTCAAACAATATTATCGCTTATCACAATAATTTCTGAGACAATTGCACAGCAAAATTTGCTATTGTGACAGGCCTACCACCCACTGTGATGTGTTTCTAAAGTCATTGTGTAAGGTCTAAGTTAACTACTCGGTATCGGCAAGTAACCAAACTGAAGTACTTGTAGTCCTCTGGGAAAAAACTAACAAAAAAGAAACAAAACAAACAACACTAATATCGGGATAATGTTATTAACTTACTTTATATGTATATGAATGTTTCCGTTCAGTGCCCTGAGAGGACTTCTGTTGTGACTATAAATAAATTGAATTGAAACTGAATTATTTAAAACTATTCCAAATTTCTGTGTTATTTCAATGTATTTCACATATATTGTTGATATTTTTCTACTATGTTTTCTTTAGTATTTGTGGCCGTTCATTTAAGTCAGTGGTGCCCAATACGTCAAATGCGATCCACCGGTCGATCTCAAAGGTATTATAAATAGATCGCATGGCATTAAAAAAAAAAAACAGATGTCAGCCTATCATCCATCACTATGAAATTTGTCACTTGAATGACACAGGACAGCCAGTCTGAGGCCCCGTTTACACGACATGAAATAAGAGTTGCATTCGGCCCCAAAAAATCTAATCCGACCCGACCCCAGCCATAATTTCCAAACCCCACCCGACGAATTAACAGTAATCACAAGTCCGAACCTGGGAACCCCCCACCCCGACATTTTTAATTAGTCATCAACAGTCAAGGACGCGCAGCTAAATAAAATTGGCATAAGATTCAGAGCTGAGAGGGCGTTTGACCTTTCATGGCCATAAAAAGCATTTAAACTCGGTTTCTGCCTGCATTCTTCTGAATTACTGAGACGCGGACAGCTCTGACACGAGTCTGCTTTGGGATCTCACCTGTTTGGGTCGTCGGCCACACAAGCCCGCTGAGTGCAGCGGCTGAATGAACGTCCATTTGGGCGATGGATCGCTGCCTGGCAGTACAGTCCCATCTGAAGCTTAACTGAACTTTTTACCTCTTTCAAGGCCGGTCAGTTCGCGGTGAAATGGCTGCATGCGGCTGGTGGACGTACGGCAGGCCATGTTATCATAATTGGAACGCGGCTGATCCTGACCTAATTAAAAGCTCGAGACCGGCCCAACCCGCCCATTAAATCACAATATAACGGCCCGGTCCTAATCCGGGTCGGGTTTGAAATCTAACGTGAAACCAGAGTCTTTCTGCTGTGGTTCGGCTGTTCATTTACAAGAAAACAGCACTCTCTCTCTCGGAAAACCTCCAGGTCTCAAAGTGGAGATTTTAGATAGTTTAGTAAATTAAAATGATTATTAAAAATGTTTACTCCTAAAATATTTAAGTTAAACGTAAGCACTAAACCAACATATGTATTATTTTGAGTGTGTACAACTACTAATGTGTGTAACACTATTACTGTGGTGATAAATATAGAAATATTCATTTTGAACATTTAAAATCGGTATCTATAATAACTAGGGATGCACCGATCCACACTTTTTTATACTTCCGATCCGATACCTAAATCTGGATATCGGCCAATACAGATCCCTTTCCGATATCGTCATTATTGATTTTATATGAGGCTGTAATAATCTCCTCTCAAGTACAATTTGTACAAATCTATGCATGCATGTTCAAAAAGGCAACTTAAGTTTTATTAATGTTGGATAAGTTTCAAAGTTAGAATTAAATTCTGGTAACACAAAACATGTTTTTTTTTTCATTCCTAGCTTTAAAGTGGATATTAAAGTGATTAATTTAAGTGATTGTTTAAAGTTATTTTATTTTTTAAATAAGGGGCAGATATAAGATTTTTTTTCCTTCTTTCTGCACTCTTTTCATTTAATGTTTTCTTTTTGATGAATTTGTTGTATATTTTTTTTCTTTTACATGAATGAATAAATGAATTAAATAAAATAAAATGTTAAATGGCTTTAAACATCTGCTAAGTTCATGGCATAAACCAACAGACATATTCCTGTTTTTAGTATTTTACATCGCTTTATAATGTAGCTGTTTTTGTTTAATATATCTATATATCTATATCTATCTATATATATCTTTATCTATATCTATATATATATATAATTTTCTTGTAATTTTCAAATCATGTTTTTTTTTTTTAATGATTGTCTACTGCTGTACTGATAAATATCTCCTGGAGTGTAAACTATATCTTGGCTGCAAGAATCAAGTCGTGAAATCCTTCATTTTCTACAACTGATAGTCACGGTCATTAATTACAATGAAGTTTAGCAACTTCTCTGTAAACATTCGAGCTCCGGGGCTTCAGCGATGTCTTCTTCTGGTTCAGTCCGCAGCAGGCAGTCTGATTTCAGTCAGACATGCTCGGTCTGTCCCTCCTCAGAGAAAGGCAGATTGGACACAGCTGGCCGGGGTTGAGTTGCCTGTTTCGTGTTGAGCAAGAGTAGTGCCCCGTTGAAGCCACGGAGCTCGAATGTCCATCGTAAAACTAACTTTACCGCAGTTTAATGTGGCGCTATGGCTCTGCACACATTGCACGTTGCTGTCTTGCTTTGTGGTGTTTCTAGTGTAAATTACTTCCACACAGCGGACATGTTTTGATGAAAAGTTGGTTAGCCATTAGCCACAGTGCTACTGCTCACGTTGTAGCTGGCTGCAAACTACGAAATGGATTTCCTGAATGTGAGGCGGGTCTTATTACGCCGGGTTCATGAGACACGCCTCCGTTCAGGAAATCCATTCCATAGTTCGAAGCAAACACGCATCATGGATCGAAAATCTCTGCAGGTTGGATTGGAAAAGATCCGATACGTAAATTATGCTGGTATCGGAGGCCGATACCGAATTGGCCCCATCCCTAATGATAACCGGATCCTGAAATGTGACGTGTTGATTTTCTGAATAAATAACACTAACATTCACATTTAACCGATTTTGATTAATCACATCGATAAACATATAAACACCAATATATCTTTTCACGGGGTATTTTGTGTGCATGTGTAATAAATATATGTGTGCGTTTAAACAGTAAATATAACAATATATTGATTGGGTGGGTTTCTGTGCGATGGGACAGTTTTTAACAGGTTTTAGGGTTGGAAAACCCAGACTCATCTGGCAACACTGTCTCTCAAGTGGTAATCCTGATCAAGTAACAAGAGGAACATGGTAAAAGAAAAACTGGATGAAAAGATATATATCTGTTACAATCCCCATTTACTCCTGGGGTATTTGCACAAAACTATAAAATCTGAATTCACCTAAGAACGATATGCTAACATTTTTAATTTATATTTACAAATAAAAACCTACATAACGTTTTGAGCCGCAGCATTCATTCATTTTGCAGCGAACCATTTAGCGCACATGGCTGAGGGTGTGTCGGCAAACAAAAAGCAGGCCGCAAATTTAAAATAACCATCAGCAGACTTTAGTGGAAACCTTACTTCGTCTCATAAATCTAAAACGTGCTATGCTAGTCTGATTCTATAATGTGGGACACTTTCAGCAGATTCAATCCGAGATTGCAGCACGGGATCTTGACCTACTTCCCACAGCAGTGACTCACCACGAAGCCGAAGCCTCTCTTCAGGTCGATGTCTCGAATGCGACCGTATCCTTTGAAAAACCTCTCCACGTCCTTCTCTCTGGCCGACGGGCTCAGGCGGCCGATGAAGATACGACATCCACTCATAACGGCGTTTGATTCACTATAACGCAGACAATATAGGTTACCATGGAATTTTAGCTAACGAGCATTTTGTTTCAGTAGCGGTTAGCGTGTCATGTGCATTAGGCTAACGTCAATAAAATGCGCCTAAAACCAAATAAATAACCAGTCTTCTAAAAGTGCCTTTTTTTCTTTCTTCTAACTATAGAAAGGAAAAGTTTCAGTAACTGAATACGTACATTTAGAAGTCCGTTAAGCTACTTATTCGTCGACGATAGCAAAGCCCAGAACGAAACAAAATGGTGCCTCTGCGGTTTCAGGGCGGAGCCTCAAGAGACAAGAAAAACCACGTGACGCATGACGTTGGTTAAAAAAAAAAAAAAAAAGCGCGGAAAACGAAATTAAACGAAGTATGACCCGAAGGTTGCCGAAAGCACACGTTTGTGGTTATCGACTGTGTCCACTAGGTGTCACTCAGACTTATCACTTTTGGTCGAACAAAAGCATAATATAAATAATATAAAACTGAACATAAAACGGACTTTTTGAATATAAAGGCAAGATAGATTTATCCACTGTAAGAAATAAAGCATGTGCAAATAAACAGCTTACTAAATCTTAGAACATTCAGGAATATGATACAGTAAACGATTTGCTGTTTAAATTATACAATCTAATCACAGTTGGTACAATGTACTGAAAAGTGTTCAGTTTAGAAATTATGCTTTGGCATTCATTTAAAATGACCTGGAGCTGAATGATAACGTGCAAACATGATTCACGTCTTCCAGGACTGATTCCAAAGAAAAACTGAATCTTCGCGTGACGCCCACAAGCATATGAACCGATTGACTCAAGCAAAAACAAAAGTGAAAACGTGTGTCAGCTTGATTAGTTTTTCCTCTTAGTTATAAAACAGTACGACCTTGACTTTAAGTAAATTTCACACCATCATCCACATTTAAAAGAAAGCTTTAATTAGAAAGTTATATACACACTGTAAAATTAAATTAAACTTTATACAAATATTAAATTACTATCTTCACACCCACTGTCATGTACAGAGGAAAAAACAAAGCTTAAAGCATTAAAATTAAGATTCAGGAAGTGTTCCTTTAACTTTTTTCTTTCTGTAGAGAGGAATAAACACCGTACAACAGTGCTTCTGATAAGTCTTTTTTTCAATCCCATTATAATAAAATGCCTTGTACCAAACCAAAAGAAAAGCTCAAGAAGTAATGGAATATAGGTGCTTTACAGGTTCATCGTCATCATAACCATCACAGTAGCTGGGAAAGAGAGGACAAAAAGGGATGGACATTCGTTTAGTCGTGCCCACAGCAAACGTTAACTCATCGATAAATAAAAACAGTTTTATGCATAGAATAGAAAAGAATAGAGTAAGGCTTTCAGGAAAACATGTTGGAATACCGTAAAGTAACCAAGTCGGAGGTTTAAGATTAAACAAGACAAAACAATAGTACATTTTTAAGGCAACATTCTGTTTGCATGAATAATGCAGCCGCCAACGACGACAGGACCACAAACGCCAAATATAACTCGGAACAGAAATTCTGACAGGTCGCTGTCTTTTGTTTCCCCCACCACAGTTTTTTTTTTTTTTTTGGTTCTTTTCAAAGCAGTGCAGCTTGAAAAGTCATTCTCGGCGTCACGCTGTTTCCAGGATGACCAACTCAACCACCAAACATTTTCAAGTGGCAACGAAAAAAAAAAAAAGACGACGACTCCTGACGGAATAAAATCATTCTCGTGAATTTGCACTTGGCATTAGACGAGCGAGTGAGCGTGCGTGAAGGGGACAGAGTGCCATTTAAAAGAAAGGGAAATAAAAAAAAACAAAAAAAACTTGTTTTTCCACTGCAACCAGTTGCAGTTCGTTTCCACAACCCCCAAAAAACTGAAGGATCTTCAGTTTCGTATAAAGACGGGTGCGAGCGATTTCCTTTAAAGAGCAGGAAGTGCGTTTTCTAGCTCAAGAGCGGCTGAATAGATATTGTGTTGCAAATCCAACGTGGGAAATAAAGCTGCTTTGCTTTTATGACTGATTTATTGTTAGGAGGGATATTTTCCTACGGTGAAAGACGGGGCCATTGTGAAGCCAGCGTCTGATCAGAAAACAGCTAAACCAGGAACAAGGCCTACCATACGAGGATGCTTTTTTTTTTCTGTCTGGCTATACACACACACATGCACTCGGACTCTGCAACTCAAAGCAAACAGGAGTCACACACAAACAATAAATACAGTTGGGAGGGGGAGAATAAACCATAAGAACTCTAAAGTCGTGCATCCAATCACCACGTTGAACTCTTTACCTTAAAGAAAACAAGTCACCCTTCGCACGTAGGACGTTGTAGCTAAAACACCCGCTCGCATAGAAGCAGCACTTTCTGGATATTGCTTCAGCCGGCGGCAGAAAATAAAGAAGCAGGTCGTTTTAATAGTCGTGATATGGCGACTGCTGTGTGCCGTTTTTAGCTTCGGAGCTCCTGCTGATCCGTTCGTTAAGACGCCGACAGGATCGAGACGGAGGAGGCTTCATGCGTCGTTCGGAGTGAGCTGTCAACGGGCGACTGAAAACATGCAGCAACTGCACGAAGGACTGCAAAACACACTTTTTCCAAGTGCAGCGGGAAGACGAATCCAAGCTTCACAGCGTGGGAAGCTAAAAGTCACAGGTGAATTCTTTCTTTTTTGTGTCGGCGTTTCTCTAGAGAGCTGCTGTGTACATATAGTTTTCTACGAGGAGGCCTCTGTGAGCAGTACTACAGACAAGTGCATGGCCACGCCTAATCTTTCATACACAACTTTGACTTGGTAAGATTTGTTTAGTTTGGATCAGACTCACAGGGTTTACAGGAAACTGAACTGGGCTCCATTCAGAAATGGCTCTAACGACTCGATCCCAGGTGGACACCAGCAGGACAGATAGAGGTCCCATCCAGAGGGACACGTTGTTGTGTCCACATTTTAGTTGGTAATCTGAATGCCAAGCCATCCTGGGCTCCATTAAAGGACCGCCTTCTGTCTAGATCTGACTCTGCACAAACAGCTGAGCTCTTACTTTGACGTGTAATTGTTCTCAAGAGTCATTAAAATAAAGCAGAGCTGCTGAGTAATTTATTAGGGTAAAAGCAGTCTGTGGGAATATTTTGAAAATATGCCGTTTTTCTCACGCTAAAAGGTTTTAATAAATTGATTGTCCATCATTTTGCCAGGATAATGTTAGTCTAGAATTGCTCAGACAGATGCTGAACTAAAATTCGAGGTAGCGGGGATTCATTCAAAACGTAATCCGAGCACTAACACATCGTGTAAGATGTTTAAAATGTTGTCATCTGAAGTAATAGGCAATAAGCATTCCTTGACTGAACCCGATTGTGGTCATCCTGCCGTAAAACACTCAGTTATAAAACAAATACTGAAACTATACAACAATTTGTCACATAATATTTAAACACAACTAGGCTCACAGTAAAGTTGTGTAAAAAACAGCTGATAGATCATGAGTTTTAGGCGGGTTTTCCAGGTGTAAACATTTGTAACTGGGGTCAAATCAGCCAGGATGCACGTTACAGAGCCACGTCTGAACAGAGCCACGTCTGAACAGAGCCACGGTACCATTGATTGACTCGTCTTCAGTTTAATCCAGTCGCTGGGTCCTGTGGTGTAACATCATTTCTTATGTTGCAGAGTTCATACTGGATGTTGGCCTTGAGTTAGAAGAGAGGAGGTGGTAGATGGGAAATGGGCATTGTTCTAGTTACTTTTCTGCTGGCTGCCTTGGGGGGGTGGGTGGGGGGGGGGGACTGGGTTGACAGCCACAGTCAGTTCCGGACAGCAGCGAGAGATAGGGGAAGGAGGTGCTGCTGCTGGTGCTGATAACGGGCCAGCAGGCTTCATGCTTCCTTCAACAGGGGGATATCTGCAGAACAGAAGAGTCGCATGAGAAACGAGCGACGACCGTTGTGTCATTTTGGCAATATTTCTTGATGCAACCAAAAAAAAAGAAAGTCAACTATTTTTTATGTTTCACTTCCAGTTTTTGGTTTGGTCCATCTATCCTGTCCTTCTCTCAGTGTGTGAAACTAACAAAGAGAAAATAAATAAAACATTTTTCTCCAATTCTCACTGTACTACAGTATTCAGACTTTACGTTGATTCAAAAGTACTGAATTATTTGCTAATATTTATAGCTAGAAGCTAAATTGTGTAAAACAGCATCGAGTTATGTTCTATTTAATAATTCAAGGAGGAATAAAGTCACCAGTCTTTGTGTTACAAGGTAAATCTGTGGATTCTTCTCACCGTCAGAAAATTCATCCGTGGAGGTGACCGAAAGCAGACTGTGCTGGTCGCTGCTTTCAGAGTCTCTGCGGAGAGGTAGGGGGCCTGCACATGCACCACCTGGGTGCTCTCTAGCCCATGACGAAGATGAAGAGGGCACCTGATGAACTAGCACAGTCTCTGCGTGACAGCGGGAGGAGGATGAGGAGGTTGATGGGAGACAGAAGTCAAAGTCTCTGTGGTGGCGGCTTCTGCCGGAGCTTTGGCCTCCGGCGGCCCCTTGAGGAAGCCCCTCAGAAAGCACGATCGGGACTCGCGACTCTGGGGGAGCTGTGGGCGGTGGTGGAGAAGGACCGCTGCAGGGTCCACTGCTTCCATATACAGCCTCTTCATAAGAAGGCAGGGCCACTTGGACACCCTCCACCATGATGGAGCTGGACTGGCCTGAGACCCCCTGCTCCCTCCTGATGAACCAAGACAAAAACAAGTGTGGGGAAAAACACGCATCTGTTCTGGTGAGACTTCATGCAGCATGCTGCAGGAAAACCTGCACAAAAAAACTTTTAGCTCATTACATAATCAAGAAGAGCGCCCATGAGCATTACAGCAAATTATACTGGCCTTAAATCACTAAGCTACGGCAGAGGCGGTCATTAAAGGTAATCAGATTACTATTCAGACATCTTTAATTTCATTTCTCAGGTAAAAGAAAGGCATCTTGAACAAGATATAAGGGAACAATACATGACTGCAGTTAACCAAAATTTAAAACTAATAGGTGCAACATAAAAAAAAAATCTGCTCGCAAATGAGTTTGTCACACAGTCAGATGTAACCAGTGCTTCAGCTATCAGTATTTTCTGCTAAAGCAGTATATAAATACAATTCAGTGTTTCAGCAAAACAGAAGCTCCCAGATGGGATAGATAAACAAACACACGTCATAAAACACAAAATATGAAGACGTTTGACCTCAAATGAACCAATTTCTGTGTTTTACATTAGAAAAAGTGAATCAACTTTACCAAGAAACTGTTTCTCATCTAATTTGACAGCTAAAATAAACTGCGTATGCCCAGAGTTGGAACTTGTATGTAAATAAATGAGTGTTTCCTTAATCTGTGTACTGTAATGTGTAAGTATCTTACCTGTTGTGATGGAAAGACTTGAGTTTTGGCTGTACAAGAACAAACAGCACCACTAAAAGCAGGATTAGAGCCACAGAACTCGCTGTGGACGCCACAATGGACAGAGCTGGGATACCTAACGGGGAGCTTGGTTCTTTGTCTGAAAAGAGAAAGTGAAGTAAAATGTGGCTTAAACGTTCTACTCTTCTTATATTTTGATAAAAAAAAATAAGGAGTAATGTACAGAGTTGAGCTGAGATGCCGAACCTTCTACGAGTCTGCAGCTGCTCTGCATGGGACGGTCCCATTCGCCGTTAATGCAAGTGCGAAAATTGTAGTCTCCTTTCAGAGCGTAGCCCTCGTCACAGAAGTACTCAATCACTGTCCCGTGCGTGAGACTCTGGCAGTGAGGAGAGCGGCAGCGGTAGCCCCCGTTTTCTGGTTCGCTAGGTGGTGGACACACTACAGAGAAGAAGAGAGGAATTATGCTTTTTTTAAATTATTTGCTGGTGTGCAGAGAAAAATCGGTTTGTCATTTCTGCTTGTGGAGAGATTTCAATGCTCAGAGTTGACCTGAAATGACCCAATGCACCCCGCTAGCTGTCGAGGACAAACCTTTCTGTTGGTGTTATTTTACTGTGAAGTACTGCAGTAATGTGTATCATACTGTGTACTACCGCTCAACCTCAGCAGTCCTAAAGATGACTGAAGCTGTCAAGTTCATTCATGAGGTCGTTAGTAACTTACTGGGGTTCTCAAACTCCTAATGCAAGGTCCAAATCTGACTTTAAGATAGGGTCAAAAGGTCACAGGTCTGGAATATCTAGCAGTGAGCAAATCTGTTTTATTACATTTGAAATAAAATAAGTTAGTCGTTTGGCCAACCCTAACTTGTCCAGCTTTAGGGGAAACAGAGACCGTTTAAAATACTATAAAAAAAAATCAGATAAACTCATAAAACATTTAAGCCAAGTGCCCTGAGACGACGTCTCTTGTGACTTGGCGCTATATAAATAAATTGAATTAAATCATCTTTTCCTGTTTTATCAGTTGAACAGGATGTTGACTTGAGCATTGATTTGTTTTTCCATTAATCTGTTGTCCAAGGAACAGTAGACAAGATCTGTATTATATTTATTATGAAATTATTCTGTATTTAATGATAGTGAGGCACAGACATGCTGTAATGTTTTATTGGAAGATCTCCTCGTTTGTCAGAATGATGATGATGATGTTTGGACGTGGCACGTTCTGTTCTGCTGATATTTGTGCCCTAGAATATTTTGTTTGTGATGCTTATTTTCAAACCAGGACCATATTTTAGACAGACTGATGGTTTGAGATGGGGGTGAAGGAAGCCATTTATGTCAAATGAGACAAAACAACTTTAAACAGAGGAGGTCAACTTGCAAAAACTTCAAAACTCCAATTGACACCAAAACATCTCTCTGAGCCAGGCTAGCGAAGAGCCAAACGAGCCTCCAATGTGTGGAACGAGTAGTTCCAGTCTAACCTGCAGGTGAGTCTGGGGACACAACCAGGCCTCTCATGCAGTTTTATAAAGCTCAGACCTCCACACACTTCAGATATTTTAGAATTGATAAAGCCTCCTGGACAGGAAGAGAAACATCTTCAGCTTCAGAATAGAAGTCCAGTTTTTGTTTTGAACTCTTTTTTTCTGGACCAAAAAAAAAAGGCCATGATTTTCACAGATTAGCCCGCGCAAAATGAGCACAAGTCTTATACTCGCAACAATCGGCCCATTTTCTCTCCATTTTGCCAATTAGTCTCCAACAGTTGCAGCCCAGACAGATGCTGCCTTAACGAACACAAGCTCGTTCACTCTGTGCGCACTCTTCAGGACATTGTACAAATGTTTATCAGTTCAATATAACATGTGGTCTGGGTCCGGACTGACCTCTCATTTTGTCTGGATTTGGAGAAACACAGCTGTAAATGATATAATGTAATAAGCCAGCACTAACGCTGTTAAACAAAGTAGATCAAAATGTATTACTGTTCTAATTAAAACTTAAAAATTATTTGTACCCCCAAGTAAAGGTAATAAATATTGCTCACTTCTGCTCTTGACGCAGCTTGGAGGATGATGGGACCAGGTTCCATTACTGGAACAGGTGATGGTAGTGGGTCCATCTGCTGCGTATCCTTGTTCACAGCCGTATGTTAGATTGTAGCCAGGAGGAAAAGAGGCCCAGTTGGATTCGGTCTGGTTGAGCAGGTATCCGTGCTGCACGCCGGATGGGTGCAGGCAACCTGAAGACACAGAAACCAGCGAAGGGAATATTATTGGTTAGCTGCTTAAAGCCTTGACGCAGGGCTGTTTTAGAACGGGGCACAAAATGGATCCAAGGTTACTTCCTCTTTCTTACAGAACCGACTGCTGCCAGTTTGTGCTCACAATCCATATTTCAGAATGCAAGATAATCAGTAGCTCCATAATTTAACTTAGTAGAGCTAAACCTGCCTCTAGACAGGAAGTGAATCTTTGTTTTCAATTTATTGCAAATAATTCAATGAATCTATGCAACAGATTCTGCTCCTAAAAAACACGTCATCAATATTGGATTAAATCGATCGCTGCTGATTGTTTAGGCTAACAGTTATGTTACTGTCTGTGTCTGTTAGCAAAATACAGTCATTTCCAGACTATAAGCTGCTACTTTTTCCACACACTTTGAACCCTGACGTTTAAACAATATGGCAGCTAATTTATGGATTTTTTTTTTGACGGGCTAACGAGCTTCATGCCACCAAAACATTTAGCCCCGTCACACCCGGGGGGGGGGGGGGGTCCTCGTAACTCAATGAGACTACCTGCATAAAGAAAAGGTAAAAAAAAATAAAATAAATCTGACCAATTAAATTACTGAACAGGTCACAGTGAACCCTTCCCCGTTCTCTCCTCCCCTCCTCGTTGTGACCCCAGGGAGGGGGGAAACTTCCCACTTTCCTGGGCGAACAATAAAGTATTTGCAGCCACTAGAAAAACGTGAAAATCGTGCATTTAAAACGGCACTCCGAGCTCTATGGGATGCTGGCAGGCAGCTGCGTGATGGAGGACAGCACAAGCTTGTGCAGGAGGAATATGAAGATAAGCAATCAATGACTTCCTGGTACGCTACTGTACTTTTTTTAACCAGCCATGTTACATCTGTTCAATATAAAAACATTTACTGTATGTATTTGTGTATGCTACCCGTACATATTTAATTAAAAGTTTTAAAAAATCTTTCTGTGCAAATATCTCATGTTACAACGTGGACACCCATGGCACAGTAAATAAACAAAATGATTATTATTTTAAAAAAATTGTGGGCGTGGCTTATATTCGGGTACGCTCTATAGTCTGGAAATTACGGTAACTCATCAACCACTGGGCAGCTTTGAATGAAATCTTCAGGAAGTAATTGCTGTACATCTACAACTTTTCATCTTTTTTTTTTTACAAGATGGCTATCAGAGCCAGCTGACTTTAAAAACACAAAAATAGATAAGACTCACTTAATATTACATGTTATTACTTTTCTCATGCATCAACGTATACAACAGCATGGGTTACATGTTACATATAACTCCAACACCAGTGTTTCAGTTAATCAAAGTTTCAGCATTAACTTATCTGGTAGCTGCAGAAACACAAGGTAATTTGTTGTGTTTTTCTCCATTACACTGACACAAACCTTCTACTTGCAGGCAGCTGCCACCTGGTTAAACAACCTTTATGAGGAAACTTGTCAAACTGACAAGCTGAGCCAATAAATAAAGCTCAGAGATAATGATACTTGAAACTGCAGCTTACATGAGCTGGAGGGGAACACTGTATCAACAAGACAAGTTGGTGCCGCTGCAGCACAATGGATCAAAATGTCAGAGCGCTTCACATGGATCTAATTCTTCTCGATTATCTCCTGCTCATTAAACAGTCTCCATCCCACACTAGTACTGCTTTAATCTGTGGGTGAGGCTGGATTTGAAATTGTTCTTTTCTGCTGGGTTCATTTACTTTACGGTAATGGCAGACTTCAAGTAAGCTGTATAAAAAAAACGGGATGAGGTAGAGGTGCACAGATAATTGTGTTTTGATCCACCTTTCTATGCTCCGTGACAGGCACGGCAGGGATGCACCAGCTTCTTGTGAGTGTGGGGATAAACCATCTAAATTTGTGCCGCACGCCAACAGCTCTAAACAATATATCCCCCCACACACACACGCTCATGGCACACACACAAGACAGTTGGAGCTACAATCTGGAGAAAGCAGGACGTCTAAACCCAGCAGATCTGCCAGCACTGCAGCACCTGTGCAAACAACCACGATAGCAGGAGACCAACTTTACTCAGCGTATTCTGAATAATAATAATCAAAAAATGTAGACAAAATTAGTTAGCACCCATCATGCCCGTGTTTTAGACCAAGACTGTCTCACATAGGCCTGTTACGATAACAAATTTTGCTTGACGATTAATTGACTCAGCAGTTATTGCGATAAACGATGATATTGTTTGAGATTTGACAATAATTAGTCATTATTGTCAAATTTAAGAATAAATTGTGGGTTGATTTTTGTGTGTAGCACCTTTATTTGACCACTGGATGGCAGTTTAGGACTGTTTGAACTGAAGGATGGATAGTGAGGGAGCGAGCAGCGTCTCTTTTTAAAGAAAAATGGGAGGGAGGCCCCTTGACGTGACATGGGCTGTGTCTCGTTCCTGTTTTTCGGTTCTCAAAATGGCGGCCGCTCTGTGTGGTTTGAGCTCTTTAGCATAGCATTTGTCACACAAAGCTTTTAATTTAAAAAATAAATAAATAAATAAATCAGTAAACAAGTTCTCAGCTTCTTTTTGCAGAGAAAAACAACTTTTTAGACAAAGGCACGTGTTTCAGCCATGAATTTTCGGAGCTTTGACAAGACGGAGGATTTTTCCCGAGGTCGGCCTGTTAGCTTAGCTCGTAGCTTAGCTGCTTTTGGATTTTAAAGAGAAAAGAGAAAGTGAGGGGTCAGTGAATAACACCGGAGTTGAGCCTTTTCTCATCCTGTGTCTTCAGTAGAAAGAGACACAAAGAAACGATAAAGCCGATAAATGAAAACGAGGTTGATAATTTTCATTTATCGTGCGATTAATTGATTTATTGTTTATCGCAACAGGCCAAGTCTCACATTGAAAAATGACAGAACTTGGCTTAATGTGAACCAAGTAACCTTCATGACAGTTATCTAATAAATAAAATGATCTCATAATACACAAAAGACCTAAAATGTATTTGACCGTGTCTCATCTCTTTGCTCTAATGAAAGGTAATAAATAAACAAAATTAAAATTCTTCCATAAATAACATGAATAATATCAAAAATAGAAACGATGATGTGAGTCGTCACAGTATCATCTGAGCCATGGTCCATTGAAGTCCTTTATCCCTCTGCTGATAAGTAATCAAACACAGAAACCTCAAACAGACACTTTGTCTTGGTTTTGAGTATTTAGAGATTGAAGGAACTGTTTCCACAGCCGTGCCTCGATCCTCTAATCTCCAGGGAGAAATGTCGCTTCAAGCTAGCAGCACAAGTTTAAACGCAAACACTCAAATGTGTGAACGCCTTCTCTCTCTTTTTTATTTTTTAACACGTGCGCACACACAAACACACAAAGTCAACACCCACAAACAAAGACACACCCAGGGTGGAGAAGTGCGACACCATTGGGTGTGTTACTGTACTGTGATGAAAAATATTGTGTGTATTTGTATAAGAGGTTTAACAGAAACTAGATATGGGTCAATACATACGGTTGTCAGTGCAGGTTAAAAAAAACTACAAACATGTGGTACAGGAGGTGGAATGAAATTGTGTACTCAAGGTCCCAGGTACACCCAAAACCAGCAAAAATATAAAGTATACAGAGAAACCGTGTATAAGGATCTAAGATATAGGCTAAACACTAATAGTGTAAAGTAATACAGTGTATTAAACAGCAGCCTGAACATGAGTCTGTAGTGAGCAGATCGGTATGAATGAATACAGCATCATGAGATAATCAGCAGCATGAGATAAGTCACATATCACCAATTAAAGTGGCATTACAGAGATTTTTCTTTCTTTATTTAATTTTTCCTTACAGTAGCTATGTTTACATGCGCAACATTCTTTGACCGGATTGAAATGTTTTCAGATTAAATAATTCCTGCATCATTTACAGCCGAGCTACAGGTAATGCAGATAATTCAGAGCTCTTTCAAAGTTTCTAGTAGAAATGTCGTCGCTCACCGACCAGTTTTGCTTCCCCGACATGCTAACATTATTAGCATTAGCCAGGCGCAAATGACATAGGTCGCACATGCGCAGTCAGGCCAGTTTTGCATGATCGGAAAAATAAAAGGACAGATTGTGTTAACATGCACACCTTTCGGATTATGAATCAGCGTAAACCACCTGTTTCGTTCTGATTACAGATATTTTCGGATTGCGCTGAATAAACAAAATTAATCCGAATGGGGCGTTTACATGATGCATTTTTATTCTGAATGGCCGTTTAATCCAATGACTTGTGTCTATGTAAACAAAGCTCGTGATTGTCCTGGTTAGGGATTTAGGAGTAACAGCTTCAGGATAGAAGATGTTCCTAATTATAATTAATTTAATAATTAATGTAAATTAGCACCTCACTAATTATTAATGATACACAACCATGTGCATGTTTTATACGTACAGTTTAATAAAACGAGATTTAATTGTTAAAGTAGTCTTTATTTCTCGGACAGAAACGTATTCATTTTGCCTTCACACACTTCCTGTTTCAGGATGCCATTTGACACCATGACTTGAACATTTGTTCTCTGAAAGGCTTCAGGGCAACTAAAGACTCTCTGAGGAAAGAATGGTGGTAATGGAGGTGGTAAAGGTGATGAATTGATTAACGCTGTCTGGGAGGCAGCAGGGGACAAAAAGGTCTTTGGGGGCAGTTTAGGGCAGCGGTCTTCAGCCATTGTTTTGATCTTTTGTGGTGACCCGCACAGCAGTCGATTGAACTTTTTTCTTTGTTGAAAGGCTCTTTTTTTTCTGCAGGACTTTTCAGAGACAACGACAAAAGCTACTCAATTAATGAATGATTAATTATTACAGTCCTAAAGATGCCAAAAAAATGCATAATGCATAGTACTACATCAGGGCTATTCAAGTGGCAGACCGCGGGTGACAAGTTTGGTCAGCGGATGAGTTCATTAAAGAAAAAAAAAAAAAATCAGTGAGAAAGACCTT